CCGACTCAAACCACTTGAAAAACATCTTTTATGTTCTTTATTATTCATTGGAAATATAACGCTACCTAAAGCAACCCCCTAGACTAATCAGAATAGGAGATATCTCAAAATGCATATCTGATAATTGCAGAAATATTATGTCTATGTGCACCTTAGGCAGTACACAGACTGCACATGTGTGTCACTGGCATGGGAAACATGGCCAGCCCTCGCTCACTGCCCCGGATTCTGTCAGGCGAGAGCAGTGGCTGGCGTCCAATGTTCAGTCTGTAGCCATTTCATAACATAAAACTTCGCCATAAACTGGGAAGGCATCGTAAAACATGGTAGTCAGAATCACACATAAGATGTAGAAGATAATTATTTTACTGAGATTGAAGATTAATCGAAATGTGGTTCTTTGCGTCTACTCAATTTCCCTTCAGATCTATAAATAAAAAAAACAAAGTTGATAGTAATAAAACAGAACTTGGGAGACTGGCGAATATGGGCTAGTAATAAAACCATCTCCTCTCCCCAGCTCATATTTCTATAAACTTTCACGCGGTACTTTGACAATTGTTAGAGGAAGGGAAAATGTTGAGTGCTGTCACAGAACCGGGCTCTCCTCTGGCTAGAGGTTAAATGTTTATTACTTGCTTGAAATAACGAGTTGCAGGGAATGTTTTTCGGAATGGCGCTGAATATTTCTTCACTTGATTGCACATTTCACACAGACAAGAACAATTTAACGTTCCTAATGGCTGTATGTAGGCCTACTGATGAAGAGTGGAACCCTTGCAAAGAAAGAATAATTTCCAGACATTTGTTTTATTGCGAATTTAATAACCTATTTATGATGGAAAATCTTGTTTTGGAAATATCAACTAATAATCACCAGACACAGGACATGTCTGAATGACAGCCGCGGAAGAGCCACAAGGAAATTGCTCTCCCACGTTAGGAATTGGTACTGCAAATGCATACACACAAGCTTCCAAATGCTGTTCAGTTTGTAAAGATAAAATCATGCATTCATTGTCACATTCTGAAATACAAGTTGTTGGTTAGTGTTGAGTTTTGTTGTGTTAAGCAGAGTGTCAAGTTCAAGTCAGACGAATTTGACACACTTCCTTTTTCTATGTAGTTAGATAGCTATCCCTGTAACAGGCCGTGGAGGCCAACAGGTCAGTGAGACGTCGAGGCTCTCACATTTTCTAGACAGTCGGCTCACAGATGGCGGTTAGATTCTATTCTTGCAGTTTATTGCTCAAACAACTTTAATATTCCCTTCACATCATCTTACCGGGTTTCTAAATAGGGCCCCACAAATAAATTCAATATAAGTCACTTCCCTCCTACCTGAGGCACATAACCAAACCATCTTAAGCTTCTTATTGTGATCACCAAAATAAAGCTTGCAAACCTGCATAAAATCAGGAAGTTCCCATTCGTAGTGTTTATACACACACACACACACACACACTTGCATGTTAAGTCCAAATATTTTCCTACTTATGCAAGACACATGCAAGAGGAGACATGTAACAGAAATAATACGATTCAGTCTTACAACAGAATACAACTATTGCACTCCACAACCACTTGCTCACGTTGGTTTCTCGCTCCGGGATATTTGTACCCTGAAAATGGAGGCGATACATTCCTCTGAAACGTCGGTTTACACAATATCTTTACGGCGCCACATCCCAGAAGACGGCATTCTTTAAATCACCTTGACATTATATACCTAAGTTAATGGTCTTGAATTTCGACTTCACGTTACCCTAATTTCATAATTTACGTGCGTATCCAAAATTTTCTATGTAAAATAGAGTCAGAATAAAATGTATTTTCTGTCTTTAACGTTCCACTCAGAGGATGTTCAGTTCAGTTTTAATAAAGGTCGAAAGCCTGCACACACAAACGTCTCAAACACAATGATTCGTGTCATCCGCAAGACAGAAGAATGGAGGGCGTCAGTTATTGAAATAATCGCCCGAAAAGGTACCGTTCCAAAACAAAGATGAAACTAAAGAAGTCCACTTTACCACAGATGTACTAAACCTAATCAATATATGTTAACCTTGGGGCCCACCCAACCTCCTATCAAGTCTCTCCCCACAGAGTAGAGCGGCCGGGGCGTCTAGCAACTACTGCAACTACTGCCGAAGTCAAGAAAACGTGGATCTATACAGCCACTCCCCAATACGTCATCGTGGCTTAGTGCCTATCTACTTAAGCACAAGGACGACATTTTTTACCAAGAAAAAGAACGTATGAAAAGGTAAAACTAAAGGTGTCCCTGTAACAGGCCGTGGAGGTCCATAGGGTTGTGAGCTGTTGAGGTTCCCACATTTTCTAGACAATCGGCTCACAGTTGGCGGTGAGGTTGTCAGCCTTACGCGCCTGCCGCCCTTAACCCCCAGGATGATTCCTGGTACTCATTTCTGTTAGAGGTTGAGTCAATCCCAGGGCGATAATGCGGCTGGAAAGATTAAGTTAACTGAAAAAATCCACCCGCGACCTTCCGGCTTGTAGCATAGTGCCTCAACCAACTATGCTACCGCGTACCTCTCAATACAAAGAACGCACCGCTTGAAAATCTGAAGGAAATCAATGACGAGCTTCATTTACCCACGTGGGGGAAATGAAACAGATCTCATTACACATCTTTTGTTCGGCATAATAAAGGAGTATCTTCCAGCAGTAACAGCGGCACCGGGAACTCCTACTGACAGTAAACAATAGCTCGCCCCTATGAAGATAAAGGGGTATCATCAGCTTGAGCTCCTCGACTGTACTGTCGTGTCTTTTGCACAGTGCAATAAACTGAACGCCTGCAATACATTGAAAATGGCACAAAACAGATGGGGTATAAGCAGCATATCCTTAGTGCTCGACTATACTGTGCTATAAAGTATAAAACAAATTTATCGTAGTAAATTTTAAATTGGAACTTAGGAAATTCAACGTACACCTGTAATAAGGAGCTTCTCTGTAAAGTGCTGTTAAAATTATAATCGATAGATGGCAGCACCCATCCTGTAAACCCAGTAGGAACAACAGTATACTTCGGTCAGGGTCGCGCCTTGGCTCAAGCGGATTTTTTTTTTGTTGCTAGTGGGGTGGGACTAAGCCTCTTGTTGCGCCATAGCTCAAGCTGTTAGTCGCTGGCGTCTCACCGCGGCGGCCCGGGTTTGATCCCGGGTCTGGTCAAGTGGGATTTGTGGTGGACAAAGTGGAGCTTGGGCAAGTTTTCTCCGAGTACTTCGGTTTCCCCTGCCAATCTTCATTCCACCAATTGCTCCACAATCACCCTCACCTATCATCTGGGGCTGGTACAATAGGCCAGAAGTGGCCGCAGTTCAAGGGACTTATACCCACCCCACTAACAATAAAAAATACCTAGGTCACCTAGGTCCTCAGTGCAGTTGCGAACATCGGCACAACCACCACAAGAGCCATATCCTAGAATGTTATAAAAGTGAGTACAAAGACGCGATTTTAATAAACAAAATGGTAAATATACATGTTAGTACTTGCCGTGGTTTAACATAAACAGAGTTGAATACAAATATTTAACTTCGGATCCAGAAAAAATAGTATTTTAAAACAATAATATATAACTTAAAAATTCAACTAAACAGAGAAAAACTACATAGTGTATGCTATTAACGACTAAGAGTTCATTCTATTAATTCAGAAGACGGTAAACACGAAAATATAATCACTTTTAAAACTTTTAATTGTTAATGGGTATAAACATACTCCAAGGAAAGAGACCTCTGGGAATACCAAGACGTAGGTGGGTGAACAATATTAAAATGGATCCTAGATAGGATGGGATGGTATGGATTCAATTGATCTGGCTCCAGATAGGGACCAGTGAAGGGCTCTTGTGAACACGGTAATAAACCTTCGGGTTCCATAAAATGCTGGGAAATTCTTGAGTAGCTGCAGAATTGACGGCTCTTCAAGAAGGACTCAGTTCCATGAGTTAGGGCCCCCATACACACACAGTTTGGCCTCTAGTTCGGCCTGCACAGTTGAAGACTCAAAGGCAAAACTGATGTGTGTGGTGCGGCCGGCCGGCCGGCCAATCGTTTGGACTGTTGGCCTGTGGGAAACCCGTCAGTCCGTCAGTTCTGCCTGCATTACCGTAGCACGTGACGTGTGTGACTCAACCTTATAGGCTGGAAGACCGTGATTGTGGCATGAAGCCTGCCGGTGTATGGGGAGGAAAGGGAGGGGGTAAACTGTCACAGTTTTGCCTGTAAGGTCAATCGGAAGGCCAAACTGTGTGTGTATGGGGGGCGTTAGGTAAGGTATACACATACTCCATGTATATATGTTGACTATTACATATTCCAGGTTAGTCAACGAAATGTCCTATAGAAAATATGTTGAATATACTAGTCTCAAGTGCACCGTAAAACAAGACTGGGACGAGAATGAATACAAGGATATAATTCAGTTTCTTTTTACATGAGTCACTTAAACCAGATGTGATCACAGAATATACTTACAATTTCAAACAGGATACAGGAACCAGTGGTCTATAGAAATACACCATGTGCAGGGGGTCGTGTCGTATGAAGTAGCAGCATTCCTTCGGTGGTGAGCGTGTGTATGTGTGTTCATGCGTTGTTGCGTTGAATTTTGTATCAAGGCTATGAGCCTATGCTAAGTATTGGTGACGCATAGGCTACAAGCACATGACTGTACTAAATATCAATGATGTTTATGACAAAGGCATGTACGTTATATGATTCTGTTCCATACAAAACATTTTGCTTTAAACCAAACACGAAACAAAATCCTTTGCTTCTGTATATCACTGACACCTGAATCATATTATTGTTAAATGTGAATGATATTTAATTGACAGAGCAGCATTTGAAAAAATTCATATAAACGTAGGTATAAAATTTCCTTTCAAGATTGGACGCCCGCGAAGGTGGCTGTTTGAGGCTGAACTATTTGCACTTCATAATTATGTATTAAATTAAAACTGCGAATACGCTTGATGCCATTCTTATATTTATTGTGACGTGTGCAGTGTATTGACAGTAACGAATTATATCAAAATTTTAATTAAATTTGCTATGTAATTACTTATAGGACGCAGATGTGTTTCAATAGGAGACACGACATTACATCGATATTTCGTGATTTACCCATCGGTTTTACATTTTATATAACAAAATCTGATGCTTAACATAAGGGTTATTTAATTGTTATCAATTTGCACATATTATGCCATGAAAATGACAGCTGAACTAGAAACATGTCAGACTGCAAAAAGACTGCATTATTAATACTGTGAACAAATTATTTGTTATATAGACAGTTTATATAACAGTCTAAAAATTGAAAAGATCTAGAAGTTTGTGACGATGGTACAGCAGTACGAATATTATGTTTCTGGACATTATCCACAGTCTTGGCTCTATCTAAAAACCGTAGTGTTTATTTTTCAAAACAACGTTTCGGAGACAGAATTCTGTCTCCGCCTTCAGATTAAACCTACTCAGTTGTGCCCATTCGATAGAGCTAGCTCATATTTCCGGTCCGGTCCGGCAGATGCAAATTGTAGTGATGAGATGACATAGAACTCAGCTGGAAAACAATATTGGTAGGGATTCACAACTTGTCGACACTGGTTCATGATTTCAGACACAGTTCACTAACAGTGTTGAGCACGTGTGCGGTACAGAATGTAGAGCTGGAGCACAACGCTGAAGTATGCCAAGTTCTTAGTGCAGATACTGTTCCCTCCGGACTTTGCGACGGCACACGGTCTGTCGAAAGACTTGTGACATGTCTGCGTACTTGGACACTTCAGTTGCTGATTGAAAGGCTGGAAAACTCCGTTTCCCACGTCTCTGCACATGAGATAGGTGTTGCTGTCGACGCATACAAAATTCTTCGATTTGCATTCGTCCTTTGTCGGTGAGGGTGAGTGTGCAGTAGTTGAGGGAACGTAGGGTGAAGGGTGCAGAATTTGGCAGCGGTAAGGATGCGATTCGTTACAGACGGAGCTGGGAGGACAATCGTAATATGGTCCCCAGGGGTATGAACGTCCCTGTTGATCATATCTGCAGAGCTGATACTGGTTGCTGTTCGTGCAGATGAAACCGTGAGAACTGCACTTCCTTGCCCCTGGAGGATAAGGCCAAGCTGGGTTGACGTCATAACACTGAGACGCATTACACACAGAGTTTAGGGGACAGGCACTGTGTCTCTCCCAAAGGCTGACTGAGCCATTTCCATGATCAATACACAGTCTGAAGTGAGTGGCGTTTGTACACACGAAGCTTTTGAGGCAACTGCTATATGCAGCCACAGTCGTAGCAAGAAACAGCACGAGAACCATCTGGTGGCAGGAGAAACATAACAGTGAGAAACACAACCGCATGCATATAGGAACGCGACAGATTATTAAAAATGCTCACAATTCAGTAATAATGTTAAGAAGTGAAACCCTTACGACACGTTTATTTATTTATTTATGAGGAGTTTTGATGAGGGAGACATAATTGTTACTAAAGTGCCCTGAATGTTCACGAAACGAAAACAAAGAATTCCGTCTCAGGCAGGTAGCATCTAAGATCCAAATGAACCGTGAAATATCCAAATTTGGAAACTCTCATCTATCATACTGTGAGTCGGGATAGCGCAGTCGGTACAGCGACTGGATGCGGGCTGGACGACCGATGGATCGGAGTTCGAGTCCCGGTGGAGTCAAGCATTTTCTCTTCTCCACGCCATCCAGACCGGGTGTGGCACCCACCCAGCCCCCTTATCTAATGGGCAGCGGGGGTTCTTTTCCCGGGGGTAAAGCGGGAAATATGTGTAACTAACCACTCACTTTCATCTAATGTCGAGGTCAAGAAAAGTTGGATCTGTACACCCACTTCCACATACGCCTTCATGTCGTAGTGTTTAATTAGTTAAGCACAGAGGAAATTATATCTACCGTTTCAACTAGCCTCTATTTCAGTTAAGAGGGCTAACAGAAAAATTCTTTGTTCAATTTCAGCTTCGCTTTCTTTTCTTTTATAATTTTTGAGCCCATTACTTTTAGTGTCATTGGTTTCATGGCTTAAAATTTCAGATTTTCATTTAAAATTCCAGGCATCCAAGAGTACAGCGTACCATGCGGTTAGAGACGAACAAGCATTTGGGTGTGGCTTTTATGAGTGACTGGAAGGATTGCTTCCACGTCACTGGTGACGAAACACCATTAAGCTGAAGAATCGACATTCGACCTCAGGCTGAGCTCCTATAATTTACACACTGTTAACATGATAAACTTCTGTGTCTACACGCCAAGATACCAATTATCGAATTTATTCTGTTAGTGCCTATTGTGCCTATTATTTAAAAAGCCAAAACTCCGGTCACCAACCACAGTAAATATTAAAACAGTAGTAACTGAAACGCAGAACAGTTTGAATACTTGATTGCGAATTGTGGTGTGATTCACACCAGAGGAAACTTGAAATGTTAAGGGGCTCTCTTCGAATTCCATGAAGCAGAAATCGGAGACGGAAGCAGTAGCAGCCTGTTAGGTAAAGTCAGTGATGAAACCACTTTAACTGAATTATGAATAACAATATCCTTACCTGTAGCACGAATGGGGGTGAAGAGGAATGCGTATAGGATATTGGTGGGAAAGCCAGATGGAAAGAGACCACTGGAAAGACCAAGGCATATGTGGGTGGACAATATTAAAATGAATCTTAGAGAGATAGGATTGGATGGTATGGATTGGATTGATCTGGCTCCAGATAGGGACCAGTGAAGGGCTCTTGTGAACACGGTAATAAACCTTCGGGTTCCATAAAATGCTGGGAAATCTTGTGTAGCTGCAGATTTGGCTCCTCAATAAGGGCTCAGCTCCATGAGTAAGTAAGTAAGTAAGTAAGTAATAACCTTACTTGGGGCACGAGTTGCGTTACTCGTCGATCGGTCTTCATGTTCCTCTGTGGGTGTAATGCGTAGTCCTCGGGTAGGAGGGAGACTAACTGCGCCGGCCGTCTGTTGCCGTGTTGCAGTCACATGATTCTGAATCTTATCTAGCGGTGTCTAGTTATCCAAGTGAAAAGAGCACTTATCTGAAGAAAAATGTGACAGGTCATAAACGTTTCAAGAAAATATAAGGCCCTTGGCAAAGTAAACATCATACTGTGCTGTTTGTCGCGGCACCTCGTAACCGCGTTCCAGGGAAAACTTTACAAGCGTTGTCTTGTCAGCATTGTATTACGACCCACATATCTAAGGAGCCGGTAACGTGCGGCGATGCAGAATCCCACGTTTGCCTAGTCACTTCCGAGACACTGTGACATCTTATCCCAAACTCTGACATCGTACATGATTCTGGTGAGGTCTGCAGTGCGGATTGTGTGGTGTAATCCAATGCTGAGTGTCTGAAGAAAATCGGTTAGAAAGTGAACACTTTGTGAAATGTAATGAGTACACTTAATTTGTATTTTCAATAAATAATAACTTTAAATATTTGTTTAAAAAAGCAACCCTAGATGTGACACTGATTCAGTACTGTGTACTTTACTCTAAGATAAAGCAAAATCCAGGTACTTTGGAAATACTTTGTTCTGAGGGGCGACTTTGGCGACTGAACGAAATTTCGTAACGGTCTAAACACGTTTGTCCTATAGTGTATTATCAGGAAATCAAATTTGGACTCCCTGTGAAGCAAAGCAAAGTTGGCACTAGAATTCGCTGACAAGCGGCAGTAGCTCGGCCGGTATAGTTTGCTTGCGAACTAAAATCACGGAGTATTTTTTTGTGAAACAAAGAAGAAACAGAGTATTAAAGGCGTGCGTCAACTGTAGGGAAACCTCTTAGAAGGAAACCATTTGGAAAACCCAGATGTAGGTCCTAAAAAGAGGAACGTATTATCGCGTATATTAGTGACTATACACGGGGTTTGCATTTGTGAATGGATTTACTGACCACTTGTAGAGGGTAACTACAAGCAATTATAACACTAGTGCTGATTTCACACTACAAGTCACTCCACGCTGTCTTCTCATTCTGTTTTCACTAGACGTTGCTTGATAACAGCTCTCAACAATGGCTCTTCCTCTGCAATGTTTTCACTACACGTTAACAAATATTAAGAATGAAAATTCTGGAGCTTCTGTGCTCACGATGTCACTGTCCGCAGATTATTCCGCAACTGATCTGTCTTTTCAGCCTCCCTTGAAGAGCTCAACTGAAGTGCCAACCCACAACTAACTCCCAGCTGGCGGCCATTTCACACCAACTTCTTAATCTTCTCTTCATAGATTGACTTTCAGCTCACAACTAACTGGGTGGCTCAAATTGTCTTCAAGATAACTCCTCGGCACAGATCACATAGAAAACACTTCAGTTTTCATTGTTGTAGTCCTACTGTTGCAACTGCCTAGCAACGGTAACGTGTTTACTGAGCCCATCTCACGGTTACTGGATAGCAACGGATGTCTACGCTACAGCATTTTTAAAACAAATATTAGGAAAACTTTTTATTGTAACACTGATTTGAGTTCGTTCTGGTTCAGACCCAGTATCGTGATTTTGTGTTTACAATGTGATAATTCAGGCGGTAAAAGAATTCCTTTAATATTTTAATTATTCAACTGAAAACTTGTTTTATCAGTCTTCCATATTATAGGTATAACGTGGATTGTCAGGTTGTTAGTGAGTAATTAATTGGGAGAAATGTGGAAGGAGGTAGTTGTGGTCTGTCTTGAGGTACTATCTCTTAATATGCCTAGAATGAATGAGGAAAACCACAGAAATATCAGAGTAGCCAATCTCCGGATCGGAGTCCGAGCTTGAGTTCTCCTGAGTACGAAGCAAGAGACTACCCACTCGAACATTATGTTCGGTGTAACGAGTTATTAAATGAGGAATGTAAATATGAAATTGCTTAATTTTGGTCGCCCTTTATTTTCGCTGTACATTTTCCTTATTCACTTTAACATCTTGCTGTAGGAAGCTCTCTGTGGGTTACGAAATCCGAGTCACAACGTTTGCAGTCCTTGAATGCAATTCTTCGATAAATTTTCTCAAAATATGTGCCATCTTGAAAATTACGTATAATTTGCCTTTTATGTGTCAGTCGAGGGCATCCTCCCAAGAGTAACGTTACAGCGCAGTCATTTCCCACGATGGGAAGTTCTTTATATTTTAACATGGAGATTTCCGCAGCCATGGTAGAAAACGACTTTCAATTCAACGCAAACTGAAAGGAAATATTACAGTCTGTGAAAGAAGAATAAGAGAGGAAGTGTAACATCGTCATAGCTCATCATATATAAAAAGTAAAACTGAGACGCATATCCAGTAGGAAAAGCACAGCACAGGACATCCAGTATTCAAGTAACTAACGTCATTATTATGGAAACTCTGGGTCAGAAATGAAGTCGCGAAACCGGATACAGGGTCTTCGATTCTGTACTGCCCGATAAGGAGTACTTCAGGTGAAAGTGAAAGATGAATGATGATTATCAGGGGCAAACCGAAGTAACTCGCACTGCCACTTGGTCCATCATGAATTTTACATGACCATCCGGGACTGAACTCATGCCTCTGCTGTGAGAAATCAGCGCCCACCCGCCCGAGCTGTGCACTACCGAGGATGTTTATGCAGTCGGTCATACAGTCTGCTGCATATTGAAAAGCGCCTGAACTGTATTCCATTCCAGGTTCGGATACAGGCTGTAATGTCTCCAGGGCGACTCCGCGGTAGCCACGGGTGGTATCCAGCCACACAATAAACACATCATTTCGATTTAAATGCTACAATATCTCTGAGGTTGGTAGGACTTATGCTATCGCAAAGAATTTGTGGGTATGTAAGATTTGAGGCTTTCACGGCGGTGACTATGAAGAAAGCAGTCTTCTGGGATTTGGCACCGTGTATATGTGGTGTTAACCGACGTTTCGGAGGAACGTATCGCCTCCATCACCACATATACACGGTGCCAAATCCCAGAAGTCTGCTTTCTTCAATATGTGGGTAGATCATAATTGTTTTGAAATGAATCCTTGGATTTATATATGGAATCCAGTTAAACATAATGTAACCTGAGATCCTACCGTTAATGCTACCAACATGGCACTGTGCGAAAGTCTGAGGTCGGACTAAATGTATCGCCAGTGATTTCAGGATCCTCAAGTTCTATTTGGCAACAGATCTCCTAAAAATATATATCATTTGCTGAATATAAAATATTATTGCGGCTGTGCGAAATTTAGAATCTCACTCAGTTTGAAGTACGTGGGAAGTTTTATGCTGAATTTAAAGATGCAGTTTGAATTTAAGTTGGAGAAAACTGCATAATGAGGAGCTTCATAACTTGTAATCTTCTCCAAGTATAATTAGAATTATCAAGTCAAGGAGGGTGAGGTGGGCAGGACATGTAGTGCGAATGGGGGAGAAAAGGCATGCATATAGAATATTGGTTGGAAAGTCAGAAGGAAAGAGACTACTGGGAAGACCAAGGCGTAGGTGGGCGGACAATATTAAAATGAATCTTACAGAGATAGGATGGGATGGTATGGATTGGATCGATCTGGCTCAGGGGAGGACCAGTGGAGGGCTCTTGTGAACATTGTAATGAACATTCGGGTTCCTTAAAATGCGGGAAATTCTTGAGTAGCTGAGGATTTGGTTTCTCCTCAAGAAGAACTCAGCTCCATAAGTAAGTAAGTAAGTTTGGATTTAAGAGCCATCGAAAGGTGGCGTGTTTCTAATCAGATGACTTTCAGTACAGAATTAAGGAGCTGTATAACTGACTGTTTTATAGACCTCTTATTCGCCTAATTGACTGCTTATATCTACCACTGTAATTCCGGCCCTTTATATTTATTATTTCGCATTTCAAGTGGCTTACATTTTACTACCGAGCGGCAAGTAAATGCTGGCTGGCGTCTCTGTCGCCCAGTTTTATTGAAGCCATATCAAGCGAAGCTCCGCTTCTCCAGTCCCTAAGCACTTACAGACTACGGCCCCTCTGTAGTAACTTACTTTCTATCTCTGTGCTTTGTTAATTACTATAAATTAATCTGATACTGTGACAAGTAGAACCATTGCTAGGCAGCGGTAAACAAGCCCGCAATTAATAAGCAACAAGTAATACAGTAGACCCGTTTCTAGGAAACGTCCAAAATACACACACGCAACAGCAGAACCGGTATTGCAAAAGGTGGTTTATGTATGTGTTCGCATATATCCATTGCTAGGCAACGTATGATTTCTGTACTGTAGTGCGACCAGAGGCTATATAACTGGATGTTAACCATAACTGACAGTTCAGTTCAGTTAGAAGTCAGATTTGTAGCCAGTTGTATTAAGGTCCAATAAATTTGATCATCAGATTCAAAACCCGTCTTATTAGGCATGCAAACCCCGGATACGTGACAATATTTTTAACCCTTTTCCACATCTCTGAAATATTCTAATAATTTTTCTGAGCACTATATTGTGCTTTCAGCTAGGTTGATGAAATATTGCCAGTGTGAATGGATTGCGTGATTTCTAGGCAATTCCTTGCAGCTGACACTCCATTCCTGTGGACGGTTATCTAAAAGCTGTGCTGCACACAGACTGTATCCCCACGCTCACCAATTGCATTCGATTCGGTCTCAATTTAATCCTGTCACTGAGAAGAGAAGCTACGCAAAGTCTGAATTTAATCAATAGAAAATATCAAACCTGGGATCTTCGAGTTTGGGTCTGATGCTGCAGGCTGCGTAATTATCCCCGGGCGAATATCCAAAACGAAGCCGCTGTCCCTAACTCGAAGCAAGAAACACAGTAGTTGACTAGGAATAAAACTTCAGTAGAAAAAAGTACAAAATGAACTGGCCCATAAACATCTTATCAGCAGTTCCAAATTTTTTTTTTATATATCTCCGTTTGTTTGTACAGTCGGTCCATACGTGGAACTCCCTTTACGTACGTTACATAACAGAACTCGAGCAAATTGTCTCAAGCGGTAATGCTACTAGCATATATTCGAAAGCAGTCCGGCTCCATAGAAGTTTGTTCGCCT